TCCAGCCAAGAGTGATACCATATATGCCCCATAGCTGCAGAAAAGGCTAACATTGTTATCTTTTTACAAAAAAACAGCTAAACATGAGAGGTTTTTGGACAAAGTTTGTGTTCTCCATTCTTTAAGCACCGGCACGTTTCAAAAGTACCGGTTTGGCACCTTTATCGGATAAAACCTAAACGATACCCATCCCTATTCATATCATGAATGTGCAGCTGTCAAATCTGCAGCAAGTGCGTGACACTATGTGTGACTATATGCATCATGTGAATAAAGGTCAACATCTCTAAGGGATGTTTTCAGCACTAGTTTGTTTTTAAGTGACAGACTAAAATTGTTTAAGGAGCAAACATGTTCATAATTTCACAGCTGTCCTCGGACTAAAAAAACAATCCAGAGAGAATTTTCTCATAGAATTCTGATCATGAGTTGAAACTTTTTTTCATACGACTATTTTGAACACTATTTGTACAATCAAATAATAATAACAATAATACAAACTAAAAAAAAAACTAAAGAAGCACCGCGTGGCGTGGGGAGAAAGCCCCACAAACTGCTTTTAAGCTGGTTGTGTTTGCTGATCGGGCTCTCTGTGATCCTCAGTGCTGTTAGCGTACAGAGCTGACAGCTTTAAAGGTGATGCCATCAGACTTATGTCACACTAGCTGTTAGCTAACATCATCAACACGACAGAATAACAACACAAACCGCCGAGTACACATATAACCAGTTTGTGATGTGTCGTCTGCGGACAGTCAAGCTTACTGGAAAGGTTGTCAGTACTCACTCGTAACAGCATTTTGAAGGATTTTAGAGTTTAGCTTTCACTCCCCTCCTGTGTGACCCCCGAGCTCCTCCGGAACCAATTTCAACTTCTTCTTCCTTTGGGTTTATTGGCACTTATCCAACGGGTTTGGAGGTGCTATACCGCCACCTGCTGACCAACGTCATCGTGCTGGCTTTCTTTTCTGTCAGTTGGCAAACCACGCAATGGTGCATTTAACCCGGCTAATGCTGTTTCCTCAAACTTCGTGAGCACCTAAAAGAAAAAAAAAGTTCCATTCAGAGGCACTTAGTCCAGCTACAAATCTATATAGTATGAAGAGGAAGCACGTGTTAAATAATAATGGTGAGGATTAGGAAGAGGCAAATTAGTGAAAAATCAGGCACCAAGTATTTAAGAGCCTTCGTTTGAAATTAGTTTAGTTAGATTAATTAATTAGAATAATTTGTGCTTTGTTGTACAGTACTGTACAAAAGTATTGGGTCATATTTTGCTAGGATAATAGGATAGAGGTAAATGGACTGGTACACAGCACCTTTCTACTCAGTTTTAGCACTCAAAGTGGGTTCTACTGCAAATCTCTTTTAGTACTTTGACACACGCATTCATTCAGTATTTTTATCTAAGCACTTTTATCTAATATTCCCACACAAATACACTCAAACTCTGATGGATGCATTCAAAACATTGCTGCACCCACTCTAGAACGCAAGCCTCAGGTCCAGTGATGTATTGATAATGTGTCAGTTTATATAGAAATACAGTATATAAGGCAAAAACAGAGTTTGCACAATTCTAATGAGCTTGAAGGTCAGTAAATGTTGATTTTCAGTTATTTTTCAATGCATGCTCTCTGTTTAAGCAGTCTAATGTCAATATGACCTGAAGAAGTCACTCGGATGAGTGACAAAATGTTTCTCCCACTGAAAACGCTACATGTGTATAAGCAGACTCAACTTTCTGGGAGTTTTGCAGGCTCATTGAAAGACATCCCAAAGCCCTTTTTTTGAATGTTGTCTAGCTTTTGTTTTGTTCTCTATGAAGATGATCATACACTGCTTCAGTAATGTTTATATCGAGGTTCTGAAGAAGCCAGTCCATGACTGAGTGCTGCACTTTGTGTTTACTCTGGGAATGTGTTTGAAATTACTGTCATGTTTAAAAATTAGTTAGTAAATTTCCAAATGGTAATGGATGCTGGCTCATAATCGGATGCCAGTTTTCTGTGACCATAATTCCATCTATTTTGATAAGACCAACACCCAACACCACTAGCTGAAATTCAGCCCCAAACTATGACATAGCCTCCATTGTGTTTTGCACAGAAGACAATAACTGCTGAACCTCACTACTGATGGCCTGTACAAATACTGGGATGATTTGCATCAAAATTTTCAAATTCATTGCTACATAAGACCTGCTGCATGTGACTTTCACTGGAAATCCACTTGTGAGTGCAGAAATACAATTTTATGGTTGTCAAACTGTGTCCCTGCCTCGCCACTGGAAGATGTACTGAGATAGGGAGCAAAACACCCAACATTGGTAGCCTCCGGCTGATGACCGTGCAGCTGACCCTTCTGCCGCTGGCAGAGCAAGTGCACAGGCTTAGAGCAGGAGAAACATCGCGCCTGTAAAAGAATCTGAGCACTCTTGGAAACCAGTGACCTCTTCAAAAGGACAGGTGACAACTGGGAAAGGCTGGTGGATGACTAGGAAAGGTCATCTGCCAGCAGGAAAGACTGCAACAGAAGTGGGTTTCTATTCACCTTACCTCAGGGGCTACATGAAGCTCCATAATGCACCATTTCTTGACCGTAAATAAGCAGAAAGGAAGTCAACCCATTGAGTCTCCGAAAGTGAACAGGTGCTTCAGCTGTGCAGATATCTGGAGGATGTCACAGAGTAAGCTCCACACCCCCTCTATCCCACCTACTGGTTGGGTAAGGAAGAAGACTCATCGAATGGGAAGTCTCCAGCACATTCTGTCAGTGTCCCAGGGAAGCTTCAGGTGGCACTATGATCATGTCCTGTCGAAGACACAGAACCAAAGAGCTAAACACAAAGGCTGGGTCACCAAACCAGGACCATGACAGTGTGTTTTTAAAGATTAAACCTTTTCTATACAATTTGTATTATAATTTCTGTGATGTGTTGTCTTTACTTCCTACATGTGCCTAAAGTCATTTTATTTGTATTTTATTTCACTCTTTTGTTTTATTTAGTCATGGATGCAGCAACTTTGTAACACTGTCAGAAAACGAAAGTTTATTACTGTGTTATAATGGAGTATTGTATATATATATGTATTTAACTGAATGGTCCAAATACTTTTTCAGTCATGAACACGAACAGGATTTTATTTTGAAAGCTTGGACCGGAAGATGTACTTTCCTACAGCCCAAACTTGGAACATAAGTGCAGTTGTCTACTTGCCCCCTCACTCTGTTACTTGGATTCAATCATGTCGAACAACAGCGCCGCCAACAGCAGTTTAGTCCTCGCTCAGAAGGCAGTGAAACAGCTTCGTCTGGAGGCCAGCGTCCGCCGGATAAAGGTAAGCTCACCTCGCTTCACAGCTGAACTCAGCACTTTATTACTCCGTTGCCTGCGCGTGACTCCCGCCCTGAAGCGCAACCTAAGCTTAACGCGGCGCCAGACGCAGCTAATTAATCTGTCAATTAGCGTCAAAGTGGGAACATTAAAATTCAAAAGTTATTTCAATAAGTGTTCTGTGCTTAAAACCAAACTCTGTTTGCTCTTGTTAAAAGTATACAGCCTATACACTCACTAAAATGAATTATTGAATTATTTATTCCTGCATTCACAAAGGACATCAAATGAGCTGATATGCACACCACTGCAATAACCTATATTTTATTCATTCCCATGTTAGCGTGTGGAAAGCCATTCACAGTGTCATTTCTTGGTGTGCAGTGGAAATGGTGGCAAAACAGACTTTTCTGTAGGAGCAAACACAGTGGCAGCTTTGTTAATTGTGGTGCTGCGTGACTGGACTGATTGTTGGGTGGCTACTTATTTTAGAACAGAAGTCAGACCAGTTTCAAGTGTGTCTGTGTTTGGTGAATTAAAAAAATCACACAACAGTTTCATTCAGCCGACAAGTTCTTGGAATTTGTTACAGTCCGAAAACCAAAACACACACACAGAAGAATTTAATTTGTGATGTTAGTTTTGTAAGTTTTGCAACATTTTCTTATGATTTCTGTGTTAAACTGGGGTATTGGGGACCAAGCACAAGGCTGAGGGGCTCACAGGAAATCCACATGAAACAGGACCTTACACTGTGTCAGAAACAACTTGCAGATGATTTTCAAGCTCATGCAATGGAAACTGGCATCAGTGTTTTTTTTTTAACTTTAAATATTTTGATAAGCAAAACAAATGTGGGCAAAATCACAAAGTGTAACATCCAAAATGCATTACACATGCATTTTGCATTTGCATTAACAAGCAGTTGAACAGGTATGCTTAGTAAAGTGTGCAATATCTATTTATTGGAAAAGGAAATGACAATTCCATGTCTATTGACACAATGTACAGTACTGTGCAGAAGTCCTGAGCCACCTCTCATTTATTTATATTTAGCTTGGACTTTACTTTTATATAATGCAAAATCAGAGTTTGTAAAATTCTGACAAGCTAGAAAATCAATATTTTATGTGATCACATCTATTCTTCAATACAGTCTGTACTTTTTTTTATTAGTAATCTTCAGGAGAGGTTCTCCAAGATTTTCTAAAAACAGTTCTTCTTTGGATGTTTGCTGGTTTTTGTTCCATTCTCTGTCAGGATGATCCCACATAGCTTCAGTGTGTGTGTGTTTTATTTAGCTATCCTTTTACTGCGTTGGCAGTGTGTTTGGGCTCATTGATCAGTCGCTTTACAAGTGGTACTACATAATAAATCAAAGTCTGTTTTTTACTTTTCTGTGTCCATAATTCTGTTAGTTTTGATACGATTCTGAACGCCATTAGATAAATCCAGCCCCAGACTGTGACACGGCCTCCACTGTGTTTACTGTGCTATTTGGGATATGCCAATGTAACGGTGTGATAAAAAAGGTAAAAGAAAGAAAGACCTCCAAGTAAATAATTTGC